CCTTGTAACTAACACTCCTTGTTAGCCTTGTTTCGAGCAAATACGCATTGCTACCTTGGTTTAAGGTTCATACTTATCAATACCCCTAATACTGTACATCTCTATCGTGTTAGCTTCTTGGTTTCCATTTATATGTAGTCTTAGGGACATGTTCCCAACAAGGGTTCACATTGTCAAACTGGTTACATGTGCGTATTTTTTTAATGCACAGCTCACATTGTTCTTTATCGTAAAGTTACAAATTCAGCATCCAGATATTCGCTATAAAATACGTTGGTGAAATCCTGGTCGGGAAAGTGAGTACTGGAGCTAGGTAGTGAAGCATGACTGTGTCAAGGTGACCTACTGTCTGCCTCACCCGCTTGTTGCATCGGAAAAACTGGATATCTTACTGACGACGCCTTGATGAGGGATGTTATATTGTTTGGTTGAGTCTGACCTACACTGATTTATGACCAACCTCAGGTCACGACCTACCCCTTAGACGTCCACGCCGAGTCGATGACCAGCTTGGGCCAAGACTACCCTGGTTCAAGGGCAGTCAAGGCTACCCAGATTCAAGACCAAGGTGGCTAAAGGAGACATGGAGTCACGACTTCCCCGTGTGACGACCATAGTGATTATTTTATGATTATTATGATCGTATGAAGAGTAATTACCCTAACGTTACCTGTTAGGTTAGGTAAGGTATGATATGGTTAGGTTAGCGTTAAGATGGTTATTTTTCAGGTGAAACTTTAGATGATCTGACTCTTGTTTCTTTCTTGGTTCTTATTTGCCATGTTTCTAATATTTGTTTCTTGATAATGTTTGGCGTGGGATTATCTCTATGTGCTGCAGCCCGTCTGGTGTGGTGTGAAGATTTGATATTTACTTTATGATTTTGTTTAATTCTTGAAGTAATATTAGAGTTTATGGTAACAATTTAACTTTATGAATTGATTAGTGAAGCAGACCTGAGGTGAACCTCCACAGTCACAGCTGTTCCTTGACCACCAACATTGAATGACTGTTTGTCATCTTCCTGAGAGAGTGTGTAACCCATTAACATGAGTCTAGTGAGGAGTGTGTGGGTACCCATTAACATGAGTCTAGTGAGGAGTGTGTGGGTACCCATTAACAAGAGTCTAGTGAGGAGTGTGTGGGTACCCATTAACATGAGTCTGGTGAGGAGTGTGTGGGTACCCATTAACATGAGTCTAGTGAGTGTGTGGGTACCCATTAACATGAGTCTAGTGAGTGTGTGGGTACCCATTAACATGAGTCTAGTGAGTGTGTGGGTACCCATTAACATGTGAGGAGTGTGTGGGTACCCATTAACATGAGTCTGGTGAGGAGTGTGTGGGTACCCATTAACATGAGTCTAGTGAGGAGTATGTGGGTACCCATTAACATGTGAGGAGTGTGTGGGTACCCATTATGTGAGGAGTGTGTGGGTACCCATTAACATGTGAGTCCCATTAACATGAGTGTGTGTGTGTGTACCCATTAACATGAGTCTAGTGAGTGTGTGGGTACCCATTAACATGAGTCTGGTGAGTGTGTGGGTACCCATTAACATGAGTCTAGTGAGTGTGTGGGCCATTAACATGAGTCTAGTGAGGAGTGTGTGGGTACCATTAACATGAGTCTAGTGAGTGAGGTGTGTGTGGGTACCCATGAGTCTAGTGAGTGTGTGGGTACCCATTAACATGAGTCTAGTGAGTGTGTGGGTACCCATTAACATGAGTCTAGTGAGTGTGTGGGTACCCATTAACATATGAGGAGTGTGTGGGTACCCATTAACATGTGAGGAGTGTGTGGGTATCCATTAACATGTGTCTAGTGAGTGTGTGGGTACCCATTAACATGTGTCTAGTGAGTGTGTGGGTACCCATTAACATGAGTCTAGTGAGGAGTGTGTGGGTACCCATTAACATGTGAGGAGTGTGTGGGTACCCACTAACTTGTGAGGAGTGTGTGGGTACCCATTAACATGAGTCTGGTGAGGAGTGTGTGGGTACCCATTAACATGTGAGGAGTGTGTGGGTACCCACTAACTTGTGAGGAGTGAGTGGGTACCCATTAACATGAGTCTGGTGAGGAGTGTGTGGGTACCCATTAACATGTGAGGAGTGTGTGGGTACCCATTAACATGTGAGGAGTGTGTGGGTACCCATTAACATGTGAGGAGTGTGTGGGTACCCATTAACATGTGAGGAGTGTGTGGGTACCCACTAACTTGTGAGGAGTGTGTGGGTACCCATTAACAGAAGTCTAGTGAGGAGTGTGTGGGTAACCATTCAGAATAACAACCTTAACGCTAACCAAACCTAACCTAACCTAACCAAACCTAACCTAACCTAACCTAACCTAACCCAACCCGGCAGTGGTTCTCAACGTTTTCTTGGCCGAGGCTAACACACACACACACACACACACACACACACACACACATACATGTAATAGTTTCTGGAGCTGTAATTATCTTTTCCCACCCTAAGCAAAATTACAAGTAAATTACACTTAAATACAAAAAAATATATATAAAAAAGTTCATTAATTATTTTGATGATTAAGCCAAAATAAAGTTAAAAGAATGCCACAGTGAATTATAAACTGTTGAGATTATTATTATTATTATTATTATTATTATTATTATTATTATTATTATTATTATTTATTATTTATTGTTATTTTTATTATTTATCGGACTTTACGGATACTTTGAAGCGCTCACTGAACCCCGTTTGAAAATCACTGCTAATGTAACCTAACTCAATCTTCCCCACGTAGCGTTAGAGTATTTAATTACCATCTGAAACAAGCTGGGGAGTTAATCTTCAGATGATCCGAAATTTCACCCAGAAATACAAGCATATTCTTCTAGGAAAGGAATTAGTTACAATATTTTATTTTTATAACGTTAAACAAGTCAATGACAAGTTCTTGGATTGGGGGGCTAATCTTCACATGAGCCAACTGAGGTACATATGATAATGGCTTTCCCTGTATACGAGATGAGATGTTATCAGGATGTTCTTGAGGTAAAGTTAGCGTGTTTTTGTTCATTATTGTTCTCCTGATGTATGGAACAACCCCTCAACCAGAAAGCTCGGAGAGAGAGAAGTGTGAAGACAGATGACTTAGCAAGGAGGAAGGTGCCCCGCCCTCTCGAGAAAAGGTCAAGTTGTCTCGTAAAAACTTGCTAAAATGTCAAGGGATCAGTGAAGAAACGAGATAAAAGTTTTCACTGAACCTCGGACATATGTAAGCAACTCTTATGCAATAGTTGTTCTCGAATAAACTCCAAATTTTGTCTTTTTTTTTGTCATTCTAGACGTCTTGTTTTGTTTAACTGTTTACCTTTAAGTTAGAGGCGTAAAGTGATGAAGGACGAACATTCTTAGTGGTTTTATGGAGTAGTTGTGGTTAGGTGAGGTTAGGTTAGGTTATGTTGAAAATAAACGTAGACTCACTTGTTTTGTCATTCTTCGTGCGGCGGGGACTTTAAGCCAAGGACACTCGTGTAAGACTTAATCATTACGTTTTTTATTCTTTTTTCACTTATTATTTTTTCGTTTTTCTTTACCTCATCTTAGTCATCAGTTATCATTTGTTATTGTTTTTTTCTTCTTTATTTATGTTTGGTTGTTTGTTTGTTTTCCTACTCCGTCACATTAACTTTATCTCTCTTAGCTTCCCGCCCTCGACCATCTCACTCCTGATCTTCACGACTTCTCCCACCTCCTCCCTAGCCTCACACTGATTTTTTACAGATTGCCCACGAGGGGGCTAGTTTATTGGGCACCCCTTTACATCCTGTGCAAGGTGAAGCGCAGAAGCGTTTACAGCGCCCAACAGGGAAGCATGCTAAGTTCATGCTTGCCTTTATGTCTCATGAGTTAAGGGCGTAGAAGCCTGAAGAGTCAATGGTTTATGTCATCAAGTTATTGGAAGCTCCAACAACTCCCTGAATACGAATTCGCAACTTTCGATTTACACCAGGTACCTACTTTACTGCTAGTGAACAGGGACTAATGGGAGCTAGGAAGAGTGTCCAAACAACTTCCACCGGCCAGGGAGTCGAACCCGTGACATCTCGCTTGCGAGGCAAGAACGATACCGCTTCTACCACCGATCCCCCGACCCTACGACTCTTCATATGACCCCATGGTTCCCACGACCCTTCATATGACCCCATGGCCCCACGACCCTTCATGTGACCCCATGGCCCCACGACCCTTCATATGACTCCCCCATGGCCCCACGACCCTTCATATGACCCCATGGCCCCACGACCCTTCATGTGACCCCATGGCCCCACGACCCTTCATATGACCCCATGGCCCCACGACCCTGGAATGTTACCATTTTCTTTCGGATGGCCCCACGACCCTTCATATGACCCCATGGCCCCACGACCCTGGAATGTTACCATTTTCTTTCGGATACAAGATACTGTATACCATTTAGTTCTAAAGAGGGAAGAACCTACAGTACAGATGAATTGGTAGTGAAGAATGTCACTATTTCACTGACCAAGTTTATTTTATCAAGACAGACAGAGATTTTGGAGTTGCCACAAGTGTCCTGAAGGATTCTTTGTGTTGCCATGAATATGTTGAAAAATATTTGTTGTTGCCAAATATGTTATTGGGGGGTTGTTGTTCCTACCATAAATGAGGTGGAAAGTTGGTGCTGTCATAAATGTTGCCATAGAAATGGTGGAGAGCGTTTGTTGTTGACATAAATGTGGTGGGGAGCTCTTGTTGCCATTAAAGTGGATGTGGACTGATTTTGCCATAGATGTGATGTAGAGTTTTTGTTGTTGCCATACATGTAGTGGAGAGCTGTTATTGTTGTTGCCATTAATGTGGTGAGGAGTTGTTGTTGTTGTCATAAATGTGGTGGATGCTTTTTTTGCCATGAATGTGGTAGAGACTGCTGTTGTCATGAATGTGGAGGAACATATGATGATTATATGACCTATGGAAGGGAATCAATAAACAACACAATAATAATGTCTATAACTTTATTTACAATCAATATACTGTACATCACCAATAAATTTATCCCTTGTTAATATGCTAAATTCCTGATGCCACAGGAGTATGGGTATATAGACATTACTTTAAACACAGGTCAACCAAAATTCCCGGGTCTAGTGTGCCAGTTTCCTCTCCCTCACCGTACACCTCCACTCAACACAGAGGCTCGAGCGGGGGTATCCAGTAGTGAGGACTCGAAACAGTTCACACCGTCTCGGGCTATTGAATCAAACATTTCCAAGAGAGGTATGAGATGGTATTAGGAGACTAGTTGACGAGAAAAAAGACAGGGAGTAGTAAGCCGTAAAAGAATAAATATATACATGAAGGCTTTCTTCAACAATTTGAGATTTCTTAAGATATAATATCAGTGAGATGCCTTTTGATATTGCGAATTGTATGACTTACACAGTGAGTGGACTAGGGCTTCAGAACTGCTTTTTGTTGGCACTGATGAAAAAAACTGAGAAGTGAAAGCGTTCATTAGCGGCGTTACTTAGGGGTGTGTGTAAGGGAGGGGGGATGAAGGACAAAGTGTATTTTTTTTATATTTCCAATTCCATACCGAAGGGTGAGACTAAGTCTACTTCCATACCATACTGGTTGGTGAAGTCAATTTCTCCGTCAGCGTTCACTCTCTGTGGGGGAGAGAAAATGTGTATTAAACCTTCCGTCACTAATTCCAATGATTTTGTCTTACAATGGATAAGGATATGCTTTGTGAACACATAGTGAGAATAGCCAATGTTATGGTCATTACAGTGCATAGAGGCCGAGCTATGGATAACGTCAACATTAAAAGTTGATGCGTGTTCGGCTGTGATCATCAGAAATTAAAGCAAGCTAATTTTTATAACATACTACAAGAAGCCAATAAAGATATATAAAAGTTAATATGTGGAGGCGTTAACACGTTATCATGCACCAGGACACGTGAGGGCGGTGTGAGGCGCCTTTACTTACCACAAGCACGCCGGGTTGCTGGGCGGCCAACCTCTCGGCGTACCGCACCAGTTGGGGGTTGTGTGGGAAGGCCCAGGGGTTGTTGAGGCCAAAACCGTACACTTTAGGTCCATAGGGAGACTTAAAACCCGCAGCAGCTCCAGCTCCAGCTCCTGCTCCAGCACCGGCTCCTCCAGGGCCACCAGCACCCGCTAAACCAGCACCAGAACCACCAGTGGGGTGGTTAGTCTGTGCTGAGGCTACAGCCACCACCGCCAGGAGCACAACCTGTGTTAAAGAAGATTATTTCATTATTTTCTTTGTGGCTTCTTCCTAAGTAATGTAATATGTACATGGCGTCTCTCTCTCTCTCTCTCTCTCTCTCTCTCTCTCTCTCTCTCTCTCTCTCTCTCTCTCTCACCTTTATCAGTTAACGACTTTCTTTTGTAGGTGATTCTAAGGCAAGGGAGGGGGGAGTCTCCTCTCCGTGCCTTACACCAGCTATAGGTCACGTCGCTACTGTCTCATTTCGTTGTTTATGCTTTAGGGAAACTATCATGTGGGAAGGTTAGAGGCGGCAGGGTGGATATATTAGGATGAAAAAAAATGATGCTCGAGGTTACTGAACTTGCTAGATAATAATAATCGTATCTTTGAAGTACTTGTGTAATTCCCCGCTCGTGTGCACTGGCTTTAGTGAATCATTTGTGTCTGGCCATAAACATCAGGAGTCCATAATGATCATGCGTTCGTCACCACTCTTACCATACGTGTGATCATTAGGGAGACCTTTATGTGTTTAGTTGTTGAAACAGGAATGCTTTCAGCACCGACAGTAGTGGTACACCACTTATGTGTGTTCTTCTGCCCATACATCTGTCTCACATCTTCACACTGTAACTCTCCATTCTCTTAATTACTGTAATAGAATACAGAAGATTCATTCATACTCCCCTGACCTGTACCCTATAAACATGTTGTATCACATACACACAACAATGAGGGTGAATGTTCCTTTATTCATGTTTCACATTCATTCAACATTCACTTCATTCCTACGACTTGAGGTTCACACAACACGAAACAAAAAAAATACTTTATTGTTTTCTCTTATATATTAGTTTTCGTTGAGTTGTATTTCGCTGCTTCAGTTTGGTGGCTTATGTATACACCCTCAGAATATATTTGCTTACAGTTGAGTGATAATTAAATTATGTTCATAAATATTTACAGATAAAAGATTCCTAAATAACTAATCCTCAGTTAAAATTATTACAGAGTGTCGTAAAAACTTGCTCTGATTAGCCTTGTTTCAGTTAGTCACATTTACAAAGAACAGAATTACGACATAACGAAACTACTGGAAAATCTCGTTATAAAGCCTAAGATAATGTTTTGTGACTTCTTGAAATCTCCTTTACGAACTGCAGTTTATGAGGTTACGTTAGGAATCCATTAGAGCTTTAACAGTGTTCATTTTAAGTTATAATCAATGAGCTTAACTTACGCCAGTTAATGGTTAAGTTAGCTGACGAAAAAGTTAAATTCTCGCACCCTCGATGTTATGTTTACACTTAGATTATCGTACCTCGGGGTTCAAGGTATTGTGTTATAGAGCTAAATTATACTCCTTAATAGGTTAAATACTCGTGCTCGTAGGGTTAAATACTCGTACTCATGGGGTTAAATACTCGTACTCATGGGGTTAAATTCTCGTACTCATGGGGTTAAATACTCGTACTCATGAGGTTAAATAAACTTACTGGTAAAGCTGAGTAATCATAGTAAACAGGGATGAAGTTATCGCACTCAGGCTTATCTTCAGCTTGTTATAGTACTCAAAGGTTTATTATCATACACAAAGTTCAATTACACGTCTTAAGAGAGTGCTGTAGTTATATCTCGTAGGTTAAGTTAATGAAAGGGGTTAATTTTACGTACTCAAGGGGAAGGTTAAGCTTATCGTACTCAAGAGGGCTGGGTAAGCTTATCGTACTGAAGAGAGCGGGGTAAGTTTGTCGTATTCAAGAGGCCTGGGTAAGCTTATCGTAATCAAGAGGGCTGGGTAAGTTTATCGTACTCAAGAGGGCTGGGTAAGTTTATCGTACTGAAGAAGGTTGGGTAAGCTTATCGTACTCAAAAGGGCTTTGGTAAGGTTATCGTACTGAAGAGGGCTGAGTAAGCTTATCGTCCTCAAGAGGCCTGGGTAAGTTTATCGTACTCAAGAGGGCTGGGTAAGGTTATCGTACTGAAGAGGACTGGGTAAGCTTATTGTACTCAAGAAGGCTGGGTAAGCTTATCGTACTCAAGAGGGTTGGGTAAGCTTATTGTACCCAAGAGGGTTGGGTAAGCTTATCGTACTCAAGAGGGTTGGGTAATCTCATTGTACTCAAGAGGGATGGGTAAGCTTATTGTACTCAAGAGGGCTGGGTAAGCTTATTGTACTCAAGAGGGCTGGGTAAGCTTATTGTACTCAAGAGGGTTGGGTAAGCTTATTGTACTCAAGAGGGTTGGGTAAGCTTATCGTACTTAAGAGGGTTGGGTAAGCTTATTGTACTCAAGAGGGCTGGGTAAGCTTATCGTACTCAAGAGGGCTGGGGTGTTTATCGTACTCAGGAGGGCTGGGTAAGCTTATCGTACTCAAGAGGGCTGGGTTCCCGTGAGAGAAATTTCCATGGCAGGAGGAACAAACTAAGGACAGGTGAGGGAGGTTAAGTGGGTCCTGTACCGGGATTACTATCAGTCACTTCAGTTTCACTTCCATTGCACTCGGTCACTCATGCTTTCTGGATACCGACACTTTTCATCCAATATCCGCTTTGTCAGGATTCGAACCCCACGTCCTGAGGCTCCCACACACACACAGACACATACACACACACTCTCACACGTAAGATATAAGGTTTGAATGCCTCCCTCGTCACTTATTTTGTTAACGGTGTTTGTGAGTTTAAAAAAAAACTAACTCGTAAGAAACTGTTTCACTCCTGATTTTCACAAGCTTAAAAGTTAAAAATATCACACAAGTTTTCCACCACCAGTATTCACATCTTCTTTAAAACTTACGAAAGCCTTCATGTTGCTGGAGAGGATCTTGTCTGTACGACTCAGATAGCTGACCTGTGTGTCGAGCCTCGGTGCACCTGCCTTTTATACTGTTCCCACCTCTGACGTCATGACTGTGTGGTAACATCGAGCAACAAATGGCATTAAGAGGTTAGACGGTTGCCTCCGCGTCCGTCTCTCTATCTTGTAATATTAATCCCTAGTTTAGATTTACACCAATTTACATTATATTCCCGCTTAAAACCCAATTGATTACCCAGTATGGTATCGAACTCTAAAACATCCACAGAAATTGAAAACAAAATATATATAAATGTATAATTTTGTTTATGTTGAAAAAATTAATGGTAAAGACGGGATAATTTTTTGTTGACAAAGAACGTGTTTTTTTTTATACTCCTGAGACCAAATTCCCCCACACCGAGAATAGACATGGGGTAAAAAAAGGCGACCACACCCACGGCGACTTAGTGTGACGGCCCCCTAACTAGGCTATAATGTCCAGTATATCTGTGATTATTGTGACATGTTAATTCTTTCTCCTGTCACACAGAGGTAAATTGTCCAGGTGTTTATTAGAGTCTGTAGGGGTGATGGTCTCAGCAGGAGCAGTGGTTGACATCGCTGAAGTCAATAAGTTATTCAAGTGTTTGTGTTTGTCAGTAAAGGTTGTGGTTTCAATGGCAGTATTGACGTCTGTGAAGTCAATGAAATATTAATGTCTTTGTGACTTAAGGCAGTGAGTGTAGACAGTGTTGTTGATGTCATGGCCTTAGGGGGTTATGGGCTTGTAAGTTACAAGTACAGAGAACACACACACACACACACACACACACACACACACACACAACACCAGGGAAGCAGTTGTTTATTACCGAACTTTCCATTTTTCCAAGAAATTTTTTTTACCAATATATGGCAAATATAACCCAAAATAGACCCATAAGAGAGTTATGCTGAAGTTCCCCTGAAATTCTGCTAAACATTTCCTGAAGTTCACCTGAAGTTGTTCTGAGTTTCTCTTGAAGTTTTGCTGGTTCTGCTGAAGTTCTGATGTTCTTCTCAAGCTGTACTGAGGTTCTCCAGAAGTTCTGCTGATAAGGAATAACGTAACAGAAGTTAGTAAAGACTCTTAATAAACTGTATATTATAAGAACAAAGGTGGTAGGTGAGGCTAGGGTAGGTAATACCTGGCCAGGTGTCAGGTTAGTGTCTGGTCTAACAAAAACTATGTCCCTCACGCCTGACCCACGTGTTGCACTGCTCCTGATGGATGATGCGAAGGTGTTCTCTGACGACCTGCAGGTGTTCTCTGACGACCTGTAGGTGTTCTCTTTCGGCCTGCAGGTGTTCTCTTTCGGCCTGCAGGTGTCCTTTGACGAGCTGCAAGTGTTCGACGACCTGCATGTGTTCTCTGACGACCTGCGAGTGTTTGACGACCTGCAGGTGTTCTCTGACGACCTGCGAGTGTTTGACGACCTGCAGGTGTTCTCTGACGACCTACAGATGTTCTCTAGAGCTATGAGGCGATTTGTATTATTTTATTAATATAATTTTCCTTCTGATTATGAATTTATTTGGTAATGATCCAAATTAATTCTACTACGATTTGAAATTTTGTTTGATGACTCATTAGGCATCACTTGTCATCATCAGTAACGTGATAGGTGTTTCGTCTCGGCTTGACTACTGTAATGAACTCTGCGTCTGTTATGATGTTCCACAACCAGAGAGTAAATTGCTTGGAACTCTTGCGTCTTCTACTAAGCAATGTTTTGGAAGTACTGTGAGAAAACGGTCGTGTACAAGAGGTTAGGGTAGGATAGATTATGGTAGGTTAGGGTTGGTTATATTAGGTTTGGGTTGGTTAGGTTAGGTTAGGGGTTGGTTAGGTTAGGTTAGGTTTAGGTCAAGGTAAGGTATTTCAAATTAGATTAGGGTTGGGTAGGTTAGGATAGGCTATGGTAATTTAGGTTAGGTCAGAGTAGGTTAGGTTAAATCAGGAAGTTAGGTTAGGTAATGGATAAGATAAGGTAAGCTAATATCGGTTAGGTTAGATTCGGGTAAGTAATGTTTTGGTTTGGTTAAGTTAGGTTAGATTAAGTAAGGCTGCCGATTGAAAAGCCAAACATCAAGTCGTACATGTTAAAGGTCGTTGTCTAGGGGTCATTCTTAACGTTAGTCCGTCAGCAAGGAACCAGTACTGACCAATAAAAGTCTCTCACAGCTTCTGGCTAAGCATAGAGCGATTAATCAAGGAAATTACCCCACATTATGAGCGCTTCACGATGAACTGGTTACGTCATCAAGGTCGACGATGATGTTGTCAGCAGTAAAACCAAGACCAAACCGATGTAAAGAAAGAGTTCAATCTTGTTAAAAATTCTTAAACAAAGGAGTGTGAGAATACAGGAGGAACTTTTCTGTATGTGAGTCAATATGAGATGGAGGGAGGGGGCGGGGGGTACATTTGTCCTGATAGATATATGTGGGGAGAAAAAAGAGTAAGGGATTTTATGTAGATTAGTAACCCCTACTTATACCACCTGATGATTAAACACCGTAATTTAACCTTTCCCCCAAGTGAGCGTTAGGGCGTTTATTCATCAGGTAGAATTAGTTGGATGTGGTGGGTTGGGGGGGGGGCAGAATCTTTTGGTGATCCGTCTTAACAAGAAGTACGAGAAGTTCATCGGTTTTAGTGGATTTTTATTATTTTTTTTTTCACCTGAGATATTTAATGATTTATGATTTTAAATGAGAGTTGACGTTTGTTTTAGCCTCCTGAGTACGTTTAATAAGTGCAGTAAATTAGCCACTAACGTATTTCAAATTTCAACTCCCTGAACACAATAATTATCCACTTGAGTACGATTATCTTAACCTCTTTGAGTACGATTTCCTTAAACTTCTTGAGAACGGTCCCAACCTTCTGAGTGTGATGAAGTAGTCCACTAAGATATGTTAACCCTTTGAGTACGTTCAATTAACCTCTTTAGTAAGCAGACTGAATCTCTTGAGTACGATGACATTGTACTCGGGCTAAAGTTATTCGTCTTACTCAAGGGATTTTGTTCTCTTTGTAGTTTACTTTATTTACCAATGATTATAAATATTCTCAAGAATATTATCAAGAATTATTAGCGGTAGATTATATAGTACAGACAACATCACAGGTAAAGATGTAATGAGACTACAGGTGTTATGAACAATAAGTCATCTACTCGTCATTAACATAATATTTCTTCTCTTTTGTAATTCTTTTTTGTTCCAGTATGTTGTGTTATTACGGGTTAGTAGGACATGTGGATATAGCGGACCAAAATTGAGGGGTTGTTTTAGCTTTAATGAACGTAGGTATATAGTGCACTGCCTTTAAGTGAAACATGTGAGGAAACGTCTGTTAGTTGGCTGAGAAACTATGTGCTGACGTTGACCCCATGACCTTAATGGGTGGATTGTTACCATCTGAGTGAAGGTTTAGTCTGATTTATATCACAATCTGCGGCTGCCTGTAGGAAAAACTCTCATTTTCTTAAATGATACAACTGTAATATTTTTTTTTTTACTTTTGAGACATGTAATACTACGTTATAACGATTTACAGTGTGTAAATCTATACCAATGTTATATATATATATATATATATATATATATATATATATATATATATATATATATATATATATATATATATATATATATATATATATATATATTGATAAAATCACACAGGGAAAAGGGAAACAATGGAGCAAGCTTCTCACACATTAATCCCTCAGTTGATTCTCAAACCACCAGACAAAGTGTTGTGGTACACGGCCACAAGACTCATCTCCGCCATAGTTATGAGTGGGAAGCATCAACTAAGATTGTCTTTAAATTTGTATGAATTTTGAGTTTTATAATTTAAATTTTCACTCTTTAGACAAAACTAATAAAATTGCCTAAATTAAAGACTAACATACAAGGCTCATTATTTCAGAACAATTTTATAAATTTTGAAAAAAATACACGTGAGCCAACATGACATGTGTAATGAGGGCCAGTGTACTGTACAGGGGGCGACAAAACTATCTTCTCAGTTTGGGATGAATGTATCGCGGAATACTGGAGGAGCCTTCAGACACGCTCTCTGGGAACCTGTTCAACAGTGTGCGGGTCTGGAGAGGACTGATCCTCAGTTTCCATTTACCATGACTGGAATATATCATTTAACATATTGACCACTTTGTGATGCCTCAGACCATGATATGCTTCATGTTCCTTATAGAGACTCAGGGCTTCTTGTCTCAGGTGAATCATGTTACCCAGTCAGCCATACCAACTGTTTACATGTAGTCGAGGTAAAGCTTTGATTATGCTTTGCCAGCTTTAAAAAAATCAGACAAAACTGGGAAGATAATTGTGTCGCTCTCTGTACGAAGTCAATATACTGTAGCATTGGTTTCATTATTTTTTTAACTAGTATTTGAAGATTGTAATATAGCGTTTATTCATTATTAGTTTATTTTATTTATTTTTTTTTTTGCATGAAAATATATTGAAAAAATTTTACCAGTCATCCTGATTAATGTAAAGACTATGGACGCTAGCCCTCTGATGTCACACCCGAGAGAGAGAGAGAGAGAGAGAGAGAGAGAGAGAGAGAGAGAGAGAGAGGTTTATTTTGGCCCGCCTTTTTAATTGATTTTACGGTAAAACGGCGTTATTTTTTTCATCCAATTAATTATTTAACCATTTGGTGAGAAGTATCAACGGTAACAACAACAAAATATTTAGGAGTGGAGTCAACCTTTCAACCATTGACCTTCCAAACATACGCTCAGGGGCGTAGGAGATGCCAGGCACGAACACGGTTGGTCATTGGTGTTTAGAGTTATGGTGCCACCGTGTAGTATATTTACATACATAAATATAGTGATGAATGACTAATGTTACTGACTAACCTACTCACGTATCTTATTAATATTTATACAACAACATTCTCACGGTAACGTTCTTAAAATTACATTCGCAAGGTAACTTTCTAGTGTTAGTAAAATTACCACAGAGTTGTTGCGCACTTAAAGACCTTAGTT